CTCTGTGTGTGTGTGTGTGTGTGTGTGTGTGTGTGTGTGTGTGTGTGTGTGTGTGTGAGCGGGCCTGGTCATTGATCGGATTCCAAGGGATTACTTGGAGATGTTGCCAAGACGATTGGAGGGAATTTAATGCCCTCTGATGTGACGGATTTGCAATACCTGATGATGGTTCTCCCACATGAGATGGAGGCTGACATTCACGATTTTAGTGGAGAACAGACATACAGATCCGAGTCCAGGTGCACGCTCCACGATAACTCTCATGTCATTATTGGTAAGTGCATTTTGGAGCTGTCGGAAATAAACCACGACACGAAGTTTTTCAGCCCCATAATCACTGTTGTCACCTGTGTGTGTGCGTGTATTGCGCTATGAACTTTCTCCAAGAATGGATCTTCAAAACCATTCGTGAAGGTGAGGGATCGCAGCCTTTGGAATTCAAACTACCGTCTTCACCCCAAAACAGCGCCATTGTGTTGTATACTGTGTATAGGAATATAACGGCCGCCGGGCGTTATATTCGTTTATAACGCCCGGGTGTTATAATCAGTAAATTGGTGGCAACGTCGGTGGGGGCCCAAAATTCTGAAAAAAAAATGAAATAAAAAATATGATTTAAATTTCTGTTAAAAAAAAAAAAAATGTTGTCCAGAATTGCAATGCGACCATCTTTTGGCCGAGGGTCACTACAGGATTCCTTACAAACTCGGAAATAAAAATTAAAACGAAAAATCAAACCGAAATATTCCCCTTGGAAGTCGAAAGACTCAAAACCCCTTTCGACCCCCTTGAAAACCATGTATATCCCCCTCCCCGCCCTTTCAAACCCATGTATACTCTCTCCAAGGCACTCCGCCCATGGAACATTCAAATATAACGCCCCGGTGAAGATGGTAGGATATCTCAAAGCCACTGCCTTTGCCACTCTCGTCCTCCCCACCCCCCACTGCGGTTAACTTTTTCAATGGCGGGAAACGACTTTTCTTTCGCAGAGGTGCTCAGCTCTTGCAAACCCCACTTACATGGAACATATCATGGAAAGTCTGAAGATGGACACAATGTCATTGTTTGGGAGACCCAACCAACGGGCGCTATAGTTATCACCACCATTGCCGTGATGATGATGATGATGCTTAGGGTCAACAGCACCTTTGCCGTTCTGATTATTAGCTTCATCCTTGTTATTACCATTGGCAATGAGGGCGATGATATCATCGTCTTTATCATCATCATCATCAAACGCATCCCTCGAGTGACAGTCGACAGCCGCCGAGCCGCAAGCACGCCAAGTCACCACGTGATCCTGCTCTACGTTCTCCTCTCCCTCTCCTCTTCTCTTGAGGAGTGAGGAGGAG